AAAAGATCCCTTTTTTTTTTTTGTCTAGGATGGAGACGAGCCTCCTTCCCCTGGCAGCTGACCTCGTCAGACCTGCTCCCCTGCGCTGTTCACTGAAGCTGCCGCCTCTTTCTGGGCATGGTCTCTCCATATCTTCTCTCTCCACGTAAGCCCTCAGCTCCTGTTTTGGAGCAGCTGCTGCTCCGACCACCCCTTTTGCTTAGACTTAACTCAGCTCAATCATCCCTTCTCTGGGACACTCCCACTACGGCCTCTGAAACCACCAGCCCAGCTGGGCACTTTGCTTCTTTGCATCATCTCAGCTGAGATTTTTAATTTATTTGTGGGATCCTCCCCTCCCAAACAATAAGTTCTGTGAAGACAGAGATAGTATTTTTTTCTCCTCACCTTATTTATTTATTTATTTATTTATTTATTTATTTGAGACAGAGTTTCACTCTGTTGCCCAGGCCTGAGTGCAGAGGTGCAGTCTCGGTCCACTGCAGCCTCCACCTCCCAGGTTCAAGTGATTCGCCTGCCCAGCCTCCTGAGTAGCTGGGACTACAGATATGCACCATCATGCCAGGCTAATTTTTGTATTTTTAGTAGAGACGGAGTTTTGCCAGGTTGGCCAGGCTGGTCTCGAACTCCTGACCACAGGTATTCCACCCGCCTCAGCCACTCAAAGTGCTGGAATTACAGGCATGAGCCACTGCGCCCGGCCTTCTCCTCACCTTTTTCTCCAGTGTCCACTCCAGCATGCAGTATTTGCTAAGTGCTCAGTAAATGTTTGTTGAATGACTTACTAACCTGAGCTTGTGTAACTCTCTCACTGTCTTGATGCTGAAAGGCAGAGAGGGCCCAAGGTCACATGTAGGGAAGGGCCAAAGGCAGGACTGGAGCCCAGCAATTCTTGTTTAACCACACGGAATGGGAAGTAAAGTCCTCTTTGGCCAGCAGCAGAGGAGCCAGGTCCTCCTTGTCATCATCCTGGAAGACCCTAAAGGATCATCTAGGCCAATTCTTTCATTCTTCAAATGGGGCATCTAAGAACTGAAGAGGGGACACGGATTGTCTAGAGTCACACTGTGAAGGTGACCTGGAAGTTCCGCTAGAGAACACAACAGATTCTATCCTGTAGAAACACAACGGGTTCTACCCAGATTGCCGGACACTCAACATTCTTTTTTAATTAACTAAATTAATTAATTATTTTTTGAGTGCAATGGTGCAATCTCAGCACACTGAAACCTTCACCTCTCAGGTTCAAGCAATTCTCCTGCCTCAGCCTCCCGAGTAGCTGGGACTACAGGTGTGTGCCACCACACCCAGCTAATTTTTGTATTTTTAGTAGAGTTGGGGTTTCACCGCATTGGCCAGGCTGGTCTTGAACTCTTGGCCTCAAGCAATTCACCTGCCTCAGTCTCCCAAAGGGCTGGGATTTCAGGCATGAGCCACTGGGAAGGGCTCTGGCACTCAACATTCTTTTTTTTTTTTTTTTTTTGAGATAGAGTCTCGCTCTGTTGCCCAGGCTGGAGTGCAGTGGCACAATCTCAGCTCACTGCAAGCTCTGCCTCCCGGGTTCACGCCATTCTCCTGCCTTCCCGAGTAGCTGGGACCACAGGTGCCTGCCACCACGCCCGCCTAATTTTTTGTATTTTTAGTAGAGAGGGGGTTTCACCGAGTTAGCCAGGTTGGTCTCGATCTCCTGACCCCGTCATCCGCCCGTCTCAGCCTCCCAAAGTGTTGGGATTACAGGCGTGAGCCACCGCGCCCGGCCTCACTCAACATTCTTTCCAGTATCCCCAACTCTCCTGGAGGTGAAGGACCAAGGGGGTGGGGGCGTGGCTCTCAGACTCCAGACCGACAGCCTAATATTCAGGCTGGGCTGGGACTGGAACCGAGATTTCCCAGCCTGTGGCCAATGGATGACAAGGGCCTTCCTTATTCTCCTCCAGACCCTCTTCTGGAGCCCCACTAGGGAATTCCTGTCCTTGGAAAAGTGGGAGAGGACCAGAACATTCTGGAATAAAGACTGGAGACATTCAGAGTGATGCAAGAAGTACAGTCCACAGCGGAGAAAATTCCAGCTGCCAGGCAATTGCCCGCTGGTCCCTGGCCTGGTCTAGGTGGTTGTGGGGGAAGGGGAGCTAACTGCAGTGACTCACTTAACCCTTTCTGGGCAGAGGAAGATAACATTTTTTAATTGAAAAAATTTTTTAATTGGCTGGGCGTGGTGGCTCAAGCCTGTAATCCCAGCACTTTGGGAGGCTGAGATGGGTGGATCACGAGGTCAGGAGATCAAGACCATCCTGGCTAACACGGTGAAACCCCGTCTCTACTAAAAAAAAAATACAAAAAAAACTAGCCGGGCGAGGTGGCGGGCGCCTGTAGTCCCAGCTACTAGGGAGGCTGAGGCAGGAGAATGGCGTAAACCCGGGAGGTGGAGCTTGCAGTGAGCTGAGATCAGGCCACTGCGCTCCAGCCTGGGCAACAGAGTGAGACTTCGTCTCAAACAAAAAAAAAAAAAAAAAAAAAAAAAAATTTTAATTAAAAAACATTTTATTGACAGCTCCTTGTGAAGCAGGGCTACCCCACAGGCCGTTTGCCTAGAGTGGCCTTAATTGAAATTTTTGTTATGATCATTGTAGATTCCTGTACAGTTATAAGAAATAAAACAGAGAGGCTGGGCGTGGTGGCTCACGCCTGTAATCCCAGCACTTTGGGAGGCCGAGGCAGGTGGATCACCCAAGGTCAGGAGTTCGAGACCAGCCTGCCCAACATGGAGAAACCCTGTCTCTACTAAAAATTCAAAATTAGCTAGGCATGGTGGCGCATGCCTGAGGCAAGAGAATCGCTTGAATGCGGGAGATGGAGGTTGAGGGAAGCTGAGATTGTGCTATTGCACTCCAGCCTGGGCAATAAGAGGGAAACTTCAAAAGAAAGAAAGGAAAGAAAGGAAAGGAAAGGAAAGGAAAGAAAGGAAGGAAGGAAGGAAGGAAGGAAGGAAGGAAAGAAAAAAGGAAGGAAGGAACGAAGGAAGGAAGAAAGAAAAAGAAAGAAAGAGGGAGGGAGGGAGGGAGGGAGATCCCATGTACCCACCTTCACTCAGTTTCCCCAATGGTAACATCTCCCAGAACTACTGGACGCCATCACAGCTGGGGTGTGACTGCTCTTGCTCAGGTTTTTCCGGTTTTCCTTATATTCATGTGTGTGTATTTACTTCTGTGCAATTTTATTGCAGGCCGAGGCAGGCGGATCACCTGAGCTCAGGAGTTTGAGACCAGCCTGGGCAACATGGTGGAACCCTGTCTCTACAAAAAACACAAAAATTAGCCGGGCATGGTGGCACATGCCTGTAGCCCCAGCTTCTTGGGGTCTGAGATGGGAGGATCACTTGAGCCCAGGAGGTGGAGGTTGCAGTGAGCCGAGATTACACCACTGCACTGCAGCCTGGGTGACAGGGTGAGACCCTGTCTCAAAAACAAAAACAAACAAATAAACAGAATAAGAGTATGCAACCTTTTGGGATTGGCTCTTCCCCTCAGCAGACACCACTTTTCTTGAGCACCTTGATCTCATAGTCCCAGGGACGGCTTCTGTTATTCCCATTTCACAGCTGAGCAAACTGCTCCCACCTCCACCCCCCAGAGCCAGGGATCATGATGGCTGATTTGGGGAGCATCTCCTCCGGGAGAGGAGGGCAGGGGGTTGGGTGGAGGGCTGGGGCTGGAGCCTTCCCCAGCCCTGCTGAGACCCAGCTCCCTCTTCTGCAGCCTGTCTCGGAGTGGGGTCTCCTTTGTGCCTCCCACCCACTCCCCAGGCCCGTCTCTTCCCTCAACAGGGAGGCCGTGAATGGGGGCCGCCGGGGGCCGAACCTGCTGATCCGAGGCCCAGCTTTGTCACAGAGAGGCTGTGTGACTAGCACGGTGGCCCCATCCTCTGAGCCTCAGGATCCCCTTGGGTAAAACAGGGGGAAGGGTCACACCCTGCAAACCCATGAAGATGCAATGAGGCGATGTGCGAGGCGCAGTCAGCAAAGTGCCAGGCGCAGAGTGAGCCCCCAGCGCACGCCGCGGAGAGCCGCCCGCAGCCCCATTTGGCAATGAATTATGTATGGCCTTCTGGCAGCCCTGCGTGTGGGGCTGCAAGCTCCCTCTGCTCCCCACCCCCTGCTTCTCTCTCCTGTGAGGGGCGCAGGCTCCCCCGGGGAGCGGGCAGTGTTCTTTGTCTCTCCTGCAGGGACCCCCTACCAGCTTCCCAAGGCTGGTGCCTCGGCGCCCAGGATGCCCATTTCACAGGCTGGAGAACCAAGGGTTGGCATCGCTTAGGGTCTTTTTCAACAGATACTAATAACAACAATAGAGCACCACCAATAACAATAATAATCACCATCGTACCTGCTGGGCTGTGTGTGTGTGTGTGTGTGTGTGTGTGTGTGTGTGTGCACCAGACACCTTTAACAGAAAATCCTTCATCCAACATAAACGCCCACCTGTGCAGGCACTGTCCGAGGTGTTGGGTGCACAGCCCACAACAGAACAAAGTCTTCCCCTCACAGAGCTCAGGTGCTACTGTGGGAGAGCAGGAAATTAATAAATGAGTAATTGATGCCATAAAATGTCAGGTGACAGAGGCTATGCAGGAAGAGGAATGAGACGGGGTGGTCAGGGAAAGCCTCTGTGAGGAGGTAGCATTTGGGCAGTGCCCTGAAGGAGGTGACGGAGCCCTCTCAGGAGGTATCGGGACAAATGTTCCAGACCAAAGGAACAGCCAGTCCAAAGGGCCTGGGGTGGGACCTGTGCCTGTGCCAGGCTCACCAGTGCAATGGGAGGCATCAGATTCTCCGAACAGCCCTGGGAGGTGCATACCACCATTGCCCCATTGCAGGGATGAGAAAACTGAGATGCAGAGCCTATTTAGAATCTTTCCTCGTCTGCTTTGCAACAGTCGCATAAATGTGTTTGGTTGGGGGTGTCAGGAAATATATGATGTGTATCACATCATCTTTCTTTTTTTGGGGAGGGGGAATGGACTCTTGCTCTGTTGCCTGGACTGGAGTGCAGTGGCTCGATCTTGGCTCACTGCAACCTCCGCCTCCCGGGTTCACGGAATTCTCCTGCCTCAGCCTCCCAAGTAGCTGGGATTACAGGCATGCACCACCACAGCCGGCTAAGTTTTTTTTTTTGTTTTTTGTTTTGTTTTTTTTTTTTTTGGTCTTTTTTTGCATTTTTAGTAGAAACAGGGTTTCACCATGTTGGCCAGGCTGGTCTCGAACTCCTGACCTCAGGTGATCCACCCACCTCGTCCTCCCAAAGTGCTGGGATTACAGGTGTGAGCCACTGCACCTGGCCCCATCTTTCTAAAACTGGGAAAATTCTGAGTTCTGGAACCATCTGCCCAGGGATTTGGGGTCAGAGATGGTGGGCCTGTCTGATCCTAGTCTTTGCCATGGTTATGATTGTGGCATCCCTGCCTGTCTTCTATCACGTGCCTCAGCCTGTTTTTCTTTTCCTTTGCCAGGCTGCAAGCACCTGATATCAGACTAACAAGAGCACAGCATTTCATGGTCTAAAGACACTACATTAGGGTGAAATTTTGTTCTTCTATCTTCCCCCCTTGCACGGAGAGGACCCTCATTCCTACCCCCACCCTCGCCTCACTGTACCAGGCACAGGCAGAGCCCAGGTGCTGCCTCTGCTTGTCTGCAGTTGCCGACGAGGCCTGCGCTGTGCATTCGGCAAGTCTGGAGAATTGAAGACCCAGGCCCTTGGCCATATCACCGCAATGCAGGCCCAGAGGTGGCAGGCGGGAGCTCATCGATGAATCTGCCAGTGTCAGTCCCAGAGCGGACCCCAGAGGTGTTCAGGCGTGGACTCGCACTATCTGACATTTCCATCGATGGCCTGCATGAGGAATGAACGGTGAGCATCCTCTTTCCTTCTCAAGCTGGGGGTGGAGGGTGTGAGCCAGCTCACCGAGAGGAAGCCAGTTACAGAATCAGAATGACTCAGGCTGGACTCTGTCTGTGGTGCGTGTCTGCAGTCCCAGCTGCTCTGGAGGCTGAGGCAGGAGAACTGCTTTAGTCCAGGAGTTCGAGGCTGCAGTGTGCTATGATCATGCCTGTAAGTAGCCACTGCACTCCAGCCCGGGTAACACAGCGAGACCTCGCTTCTAAAAAACAAAAACAAAATGACTCACTGTAAGGGTGGAGTGGCCAGAAATCAGGGACTGGGAAGAAAAATTACGGAGCAGCAGCCTCCTCCCAGCCTTCCTGCCTCCAAGTTTGCCCATCTAATCCATCTTACAGAGCTTCCAGCTTAATTGTTCCAATTAATCCTCCTTCCTGAGCTAGCAAACCTTCGATGTTGCTCCTACTTGCTTCCAAAGGTAGTTCAGTGCCTGGCCGCACTGTCTCTCCAGGGTGTCCTCCTCCCGGAGCACACCAGGCTGCCCACCGGTTGAAAGCTTTTGTCTGGCCGGGTGCAGTGGCTCACGCCTGTAATCCCAGCACTTTGGGAGGCCAAGGCTGACAATCACCCGAGGTCAGGAGTTTGACACCAACCCGGCCAACATAGTGAAACTCTGTCTCTACTTAAAATACAAAAATTGGCCAGGCGTGGTGGCTCACGCCTGTAATCCCAGCACTTTGGGAGGCCGAGGCAGGCAGATCACGAGGTCAGGAGATCGAGACCATCCTGGCTAACACAGTGAAACCCCGTCTCTACTAAAAAAATACAAAAAATTAGCCGAGTGTGGTGGCGGGCGCCTATAGTTCCAGCTACTTGGGAGGCTGAGGCAGGAGAATGGCGTGAACATGGGAGGCGGAGCTTGCAGTGAGCCAAGATCAGGCCACTGCACTCCAGTCTGGGCAACAGAGCAAGACTCCGTCTCAAAAAAAGAAAAAAAAAAAAAACTAACAGGGCCTGGTGGCACACACGTCTGTAATCCCAGCTATTTGGGAGGCTGAGGCAGGAGAATCGCTTGAACCTGGGAGGAGGAGGTTGCAGTGAGCCGAGATCACGCCACTGAACTCCAGCCTGGCGACAGAGCAAGACTCCGTCTGGAAAAAAAAAGAAAAGAAAGCCTTTGTCCATGCTGTTCTCTGTGTCTGGAACAGCATCACACTTGCAGGCCAGATCCACATCAGAGGAGACTCTGTTTTTACAACTCTTGAGGGCCCCTCCAGTCCTCCGGCCCCACTCCATTCCACATCCTCACAGTCTACACAGCCCCACTTGCCTGGACTCTCAGAGCAGTCTCCCAGTAGGCCTCCCTGCCTGGGGATAAGTCCCAGCTCTCAACCTGGCACTCAACGGCCTTCCTGATCAGCTGGGCTCCAGCCCTGTGATTCCCACCCACTGTTTGACCTGACACAGCTGCTTAAGTTTCTCTAGTTCTTCTAGATTACCCTGTTCTCTCACTTCAAGACCTTCTTATGTGTGGATTTCCTCTTCCTGGAACACTTCTCTCCCCTCTTGGCCCGCCTAACTTTTACTCATCTGTCAGGAAGTCATGTTGATTCCACCTCCTCTAGGAAGCCCTCTTGGATTTAGGGTCCCTCCTGTTGGCTCCCAGAGGTCCCATATCCCTTGCATCATCACAATTCCTCCTCCAGATTGAAGCTGGCTGCTTTGCCAGTCTCCTCTAGGCCATGGTCTCCTGAGGACAGAGCCGTACCCACATTGGCCTCTATCTCCCCCAGCTTGATCAGGGCAGGAGGTGCCCAAGAAAGCCCAGAAGGAAGGAGTGGGAAATGGTCCCACACGTGTATTAAGCTCCCACTCCATGGTGAGTCCAGTCCAGTAGCCTGGATTGCTCGGCCTTTCGGACATGGAGTTAGGTCACCATCTGGTCACAGCCTGCAGCCCCAGGCTCTTCTCTTTTCATCTATCTAGTGGGCATAACCCTGGATCTTAACAGCCTTGTGAGATGCAAGGAAACACTAGACGCCAAGGGCTCATCCCAGTCCCGGGTAGATGATTTTAAGTATTTCGAGTTCCTATCATCAGTCGTTATTGGAGCTCTGGAGTCAACCTCTGTGGCTTCAAATCTTGGCTTCTCCTCTCCTGGCTGGGTGACTTTGGGCAAGTTACTTAACCCCTCTGTGTCTCAGTTTCCTCATCTGTAAAACGGAACTAATCATAAGCTTATTCTGTCTCTCAGGGTCCTGGAGAGGAGGACATCAATTGATACGCATGTGGAGTTTGCACAGCGCTTGATGCAAGGAAAGGGCCGGGCAAATGCTGGCTGTGGTTGTTGTTATATCAGGGTCACCTCGAGCACCTGATACCAGTGAAGAAACTCTGGCTTCTGGGGAAACTTCCAGAGCTGCAGATCTGAGCCGGGCAGGAGGAACTCTTAGACCTTGTGAAGCCTGAATTCCTGTCCCCTGAAGCTCTTAAAACCATTCCATTCATGTCTGCTGGTCAGTGTCACCAGGAGGTGCTTCCTTGTATCTGTCCTAAGTCTTTTCTGCGTTGATTTCTCTGGGTTTCCTTCCAGGTCAGATAGGAAGATGAGGGAAGGAGCCCTAAGGCTGTTTCAACTATCAATCCCAGAACTTCCCAGATCAGGCCGGAAGCCAGCAATGTGAGTCTCTGGCTCCTGGCGGGGCCAAGAGCTGGGAGGGGAGGGTTTGCCTGGCTCGGCCTCCTTCGAAGGTCTCCCAGCCACAGCCAGATGCAAAACCACCTTTGTTCCCTGAATTTCAGGCTGTGGGAGGGAATGGGGCCAGTGCCTGGGGTGCGGCTGGGGAGGGAGGAAGAGATGCAAGGATTGAAAATTCGAGGGAGGCCTAGAGCAGGAGGGAGGCAGGACAGGGCACCCTGGGCAGCCAGAGAGGGGCAGGGGTGTGGGAAACGGAGGGCGCAGAGCAGGGGCCAGCAGGGCTGGGAATAGGAGCCTCGGGGAGGCCGGCGAGGCGCGGAGAGGGAGGCCTCATACCAGACACTGTCTAGACGCAGCAATTATTGTCAGCTCGGAACACCCAGGCTCTGCCGGTTCAGCTGAAAGGGAGCTTAACAAAGAAGCAAGGGAGGAAGAAAGCAGGGAGAAAAGCCGGCTCCTGGCCTGTCGGGTTCTTTCTCTGCCTTGGCCACCCCTCTTTGTGTTCCACCAGCCCTGCGGGGGGGACCCCAATGTGAAAGCACAGCTCAGAGATGCCTAATGGGGACATGGCTCCTCCTGGACCCAGGGGGCTTGGCCAGGATCACTGTGTGGGTTTTTGGGAGGGAGAGGAGGGTGCTCTGGGCTGCTTCCTGCACGTGTATTTCTTTATATGGAGGCAGTGAGAACCGAATTCCCAGGGAGACAGCAGGCCCGAGAGTTTGAATTGCGATTCCCCCACCTTCCTGCTGTATATATAGCTCTGGGCCGACTACAGATTTCTCTGAGCCTTGGTCTTCTCGTCTGCAAAACAGGAAAAAGAACACTGCCTGGGCCAGGCGCGGTGGCTCACGCCTGTAATCCCAGTACTTTGGGAGGCTGAGACAGGTGGATCACTTGACGTCAGGAGTTTGAGACCAGCCTGGACAACACAGTGAAACCCTATCTCTAATAAAAATACAAAAAATCGGCTGGGCACGGTGGCTCACGCCTGTAATCCCAGCACTTTGGGTGACCGAGTCAGGCAAATCACCTGAAGTCGGGAGTTCGAGACCAGCCTGACCAACACGGAGAAACCACGTCTCTACTAAAAATACAGAATTAGCCGGGCGTGGTGGCACATGCCTGTAATTCCAGCTACTCGGGAGGCTGAGGCAGGAGAATCGCTCGAACCTGGAAGGCAGAGGTTACGGTGAGTTGAGATGGCGCCATTGCACTCTACCCTGGGCAACAAGAGCGAAACTCCATCTCAAAAAAAGAAAAAAAAATTAGCTGGGCATGGTGGCGTGCACCTGTAAACCCAGTCACTTGGGAGGCTGAGGCATTAGAATGGCTTGAACCTGGGAGGCGGAGGTTGCAGTGAGCTGAGATTGCGTCATTGCACTCCAGCCTGGGTGACGGAGCAAGACTCTGTCTCAAATAAATAAATAAATAAAAGCACTGGCCCACGGTTAGATCGTGGTAAGTCTAATTATCTTCCATCTTGGAGGACTCATGCCCTTATACTGCTGGGGACATTTCGGGGCCCCAAGGGACCCAGGACAGGCTACTTCCTTAACTAAGGGGCTTACTTCCATTGTTTCTCTGCCCCTGAGGACAGAGGAACCATTATTATCATCCCCATTTTGCAGGTGAAGAAACTGAGGCAGACAGAGGCCAAAGACACTTGCCAGTCAGCAACGGGTTTGGATTCAGGTTTGTCCCTTAACTGTGACTTTCTGTTGCACTGCTGGGGGTGGGAATGCCATCGTCTTGTGTGGTCCGGGAGTCGCAGGTAGGTTCGGAGCCACGGAGGATCGGAGCCCCTTGTCCTCTATGTGTGGATTCAGTACTTCCTTTTTTTCTCTTTGCTTCCATCCCAGGGAGAGTCCTTCCTGTGCTGGATGGGACCTTCCAGGTCCTAAGTTTTTGTGGCTGCAGAGTCAACTCAGAGCCATTGGGCCAAACTCAACAGACCCACAGACAAACTGTGGCACATGCTCTCAGGCTCAGGGCTGCTGCGTGGCCTTTTTCTCTCTCCTCCTCTCCCTGGCATTTTTTGCAATTTCTGGGACTTTGGGTTCCTCTCTGGCATCCACTTTCTCTGGGCCTCCCAGGGTCTCTGTGACTGTCTAGACCTTCATCCTCCTCCCACAGCCCAGGCCACTACCCTAGCCACTGTCTGAAACTGACCTCGGCTGAGCCACTAATCCTGGTATTATAGGCAGCTCCAAGCTCAGGAACCCCAAGCTCCATCCTGTGAGAGGACAGACAGGTCCTGGACGCTGCACGGGTGGCCCTGGATGCTGCCTTCCAGTCACTGGACTCCTTGGGAAGGGGCTCAGATGCTGCTCCAGGGTTCCAGAGTGACCAGGGTTGAGGGTGGATTTTCAGAGCAGCAGCCTAGGCCCTCCTCCATCCATCATTTCCTGGTCTGGCCTGGCTGGGCCATTCCCTGATCCTGGAGAGGTTGGAGGTGTCCTAGGGTTGTGCCTCAAGTGGAGGGCAGGGCACTTAGTGCAAAGGACACTTAGTCTCACACACACTCACTCACAGTCACTTATACACTCATGCACACTCACATATACACTCACACATTCACACTCACACACATACACACTCTCACACACATACACTCACACACACATTCATATACACACTCATACACACACACTCTCATACTCACTCTCATACTCTTACACTCACTCTCACACACACATGCTGTCCCAGAGCTAGGGCCCTGCCACCTGTCCCAGTGACACTCCCCCCCACCAGCCTGGGTCCCCGGCTGCTGGGCACCATGACTGTGTCTAGAGCTGAAAGCTCCCTTCCCCTCCCCCGCTCCCACACGCCCGCAGCTGACCACTGCCTGCAGATCCAGGGCAGACTCATCTGTTTGCATCAGAGGCCCACCTCTCTGGAAGATTCTGGCATGTCCCACCATGCTACATGTGGTTCTCTTTGCCTGTCTCCTCTCTGTGCCTTTGCTCAAGCTGTTCCTCCCTCTGGCACACTGTTCCTGGCTGCCCCCACCATGTCCCAAAACAAATGCCTGGTCTCCCATGAACCTGCTCCCCCATGCTGTCCTCTGCCTCGGGGACAGCACCAGCATCCACCCACTGCACATGCCAGGGCACAAGGAGCCTCCCCAACCCCTCCTTGGCCTCCTTTACCCTCTAGCCATGCCACACCATGCCCTGTCCCCTGTACCTCCCACACTGTCTCAGCCGGCTGCCACCATCTCCCCTGGATCTCAGTGCGACACTCCCAACTGGCTTCTGTGTCCACTCTTGTCTCTACTATTCTGAGTAAGCTTTGGCGATCTAGTCTCTTTTCTCTATAAAACCCTTCCCAAGCTTCCGGCCACCATAAGACAAGGGCTGGTCTCAGGCCAAATGTCCCCCTCCCTGCCTCTGGTCATACTGATCCCCTCTCAAGCTCTTAGGTCTGTGGCCTGGGGGTCCCCATCCAGACCACCCCTGTCCCTTTCGCCTCCACCAGTCTCTCCTCCCCTCATCAGCCACCCTGGTCCTCAGGCACCCTCTTCGAGGAGGTCTTCCGCGACCTCTGCGGAGGCCAGGCCCAGGGGACCGGCGCTCCCTGCCCGCTACCCCCTTGTCATTCTTTAATGCCTTATTCATCACGATTTGTGCAGCTACCATCTCTCCTGCAGGACTGCTCTGTGGGGGCCTGGCTGTGGCTGTCTTGTTTGTGACTGTGCCCCCAGCACCCTTGTGGGGCCCTCTGTGGGTTTGGTTTTCAGCCTGGCTCCACCCAGAGGCAGGAAAAAGGGAGCCCCAGTCCCTCCCACCCTCTCCTCCAGGAAACCCTCCCTGAAGAGACCCTGGGGTATCAGGGGAGGCCTCCTTGCCCCTCCCCTAGGGCTCCCAAGCCCTGTGTCCCAGTGGTCACCCCAAGGGCAAGGACATATTGGCTGGAGAGCCCCCAGGACAGGGCTGCAGCTGCCTTGTGCCTTCCACTCCCCCAAGCCCAGTGCCCCTGGGGCCTGGTTGATGAGGCTGGAGGGCTGCTCTCAGCTGGGGCACCAGGAGGCCAGGATGGAGCCCCACAGAGCCCCAGGGGTACGGGAAAGGTGGCAGTGCCCGCTCGGCATCCATTCCTCCTCCCCAAGCCCTGCCAGCTGGCTTCTCCAGCTCCAACTGGGCTCTGCCTTTCTCTCTCCCTCCATCACCCCGCTGGCTCCCCTCCTTCTCCCCTCCTCTCCTGCTCTCTTTCCCGTTCCCTCCCCTCTCCCCATTCCCCTTCCCGGACCTCCCCCGCCCCCACTTCTCTCCTCTCCTCTCCTCTCTTTTCCTCTCCTCTTTTCTCTGAGTCCTTCTCCCTCGCCTCCTTCCTTTCTTCTTCCTGGGTTAAAAATAATCAACTTTCTGGGAAGCAGCAGCTCCTGCTGAGCCGCCCTCCCCACACTCGGGAGCCCCTGAGAATAGCTTTCTGCGGTTCTCCACTCGAGCCCCTCCCCTCCCCTCGCCGCCTCCCCGCGAGCTGACTAATAAGCCCGGCCGCGCGGTGCCAGCTCGGCTGGAAAGGCGTTAACCGCTTCGTGCCCGGACCGCGCGAACGGGGCGGACGGGCTCTCTGCAGGCCCGCGGGGAGGGGTGGCGGGAGCAGGCGGCCCCGGGACACGGCTCAGGACGAAGCCCTGAGCCGCACGCGGCAGGCCCTCGATTCTTACTGGCGGTGGGATGAATGTTGACCTCTGACCGCCGCGCCGGCAGGTCCTGCTGCTGGTGCAGCTAGCAGAGCTTGGTGGCATCGGTGGGCGCGCCAGGTGCGATACCCAGGGGATGGGTCCGGGCCACATGGAGGGCGTGGCTGGGCCGGTGAGGCTCCTTCCCTGTGGCCCGGGGGACTTCTAGGTCCCTGGCACTGGGCACTGCCTGAGGGGAGCCGGGGCTGGGACCGTTCAAGTTCGGGCCAAGGGCAAGGAAGGGCTGAAAACTGTCCTGGGATCCAAGGACGTCCACAGCTGGTAGGGTCTTTAGCGATCACCCACTCTCCTTGCAGAAAGGGAAACTGAGGCCCAGAAGGTGTGACTGAGGCCGGGACGTCTCTCGGTTCCTGTCCCAGACTAAGGGATGCCCGCGGCCCTGGAGCCGAGACTTTCAGTTCGGGCGTTTCTGCAGGGGTAAGGTTGGGGGAGGGGCGGGGTACATCAAGGTCAAAGGTGAGAAGTAGGTGGGGAGAGAAGAAGCGCGGAGCTCTGCGGGGTCCCCGCCAGTCCCGCCCACTCCGCGTGGTCTCGGCATTACCTCATCGCGGCGAGCTCTCATTGGCTAGTTCCCCCCTTGAAGGACGGCCCAATGCGGCGGAGCCCCTTAACCCTTTCCGCCCTGCGGACTCTGCCCTGGCCATGCCACCTGCCTCCGCGGCCCCCAAGCGGCTTTCAGGCGCTGGAGGGCCACGGAGAACAGGGAAAGGTAATGTGGGAGCCGTCTCGAGGCCAGAGAGTACAGTGGTTAGAGCACAGGTCAGACAACTACGTCTTGGGCCCCTGGCCTGCGGCCGGCTGTGTGACCTTGGGGACTGGCTTCACCTCGCTGAGCCTCCGCTAGTTTGCTTAGCTGTAAACAGAGGTGAATGATGTAACTCCTGCCCTTCCCAATCCTTCCCGGTGTACTTGCCAAGTGCCAGGCACACGTGGCCTCTGCGTTCCATTCCACCTTGTCTCCTCACTGCAAGAGGTACAGTTGTTGTTATGGGTTTTCCGAGGAGGAAACAGGGCTCAAAGCAGCAAAGCTGCCTCCCAAGGTCACCCATCAAGAAAGTCACAGAGCTGAGATTTGATCCCGAGTTTCAAGTTCTGAGCTGTACTCCTCCCCAGGGCAAGATTCTGCTTCTGCTGGGAGGCACTGCTTCTAGGAGCTCTCCATCTCTCGAAGGAGGGACAGGACTCATACCCAGCTGGTCAGCTGGTGACACATGCCACTGTGGCCAAATAAAACCAGTGACAAGCTGGAAAGCCCAGGACCTCCAGGGACAAGGGACAGGAAGAAGGGTGAGGGCAGGGAGGGGCTGGAGTTGAACCCTCTAACGGGGAGGCAGGAGGACCCTCAGACAAAGGCAGGGGGCTGGACTGAGTCCTGTGAGGGTGCACGGGGTAGGAAGCTCTGAAGAAGCCTGCAGGATCCCCTGGGAGTCAGCCTACTGGTTAGGGGTCAGCCCAGGGAGGCGGCTTCTCTCTGGGCCGCACCAGGGGTCAGCCTGGGGCAGGAGTGCAAGCTGAGGCCCACATACCTCATGTCTAGGTATTTACAAGTTATAAATAAAGCTAACAAACTGCTAAATAAAATATGTTCTGTTGCCTGGTACGGCGGCTCATGCCTGTAATCCCATCACTTTGGGAGGCCGAGGTGGGCAAATCACCTGAGGTCGGGAGTTCGAGACCAGCCTGACCAAAATGGAGAAACCCCGTCTCTACTAAAAATACAAAATTAGCCGAGTGTGGTGGTGCATGCCTGTAATCCCAGCTACTCGGGAGGCTGAGGCAGGAGAATCGCTTGAACCAGGGAGGTGGAGGTTGCAGTGAGCCAAGATCGCACCACTTCACTCCGGCCTGGGCAACAAAAGCGAAACTCCGTCTCGAAAAAAAAATGTTCTGTCCTCCTTCCTTGACAAATACACCTTCATAAGGACAAACACACCTGGAAGGCTGGGTTTGTGTTTAGAATTATCAGGCTCCTCGGAGACTGGAGACTGCAGGAGGAGCTGTAGCAGGTGGGAGGGTGGGGGTGGGGAGCCAGCCTCAGTCTCTGGCCTCTCCAGCTTCACACCCTTCTTTCCTTTTTGCCCCAGGTTCTTTTCTTTTCCCTGAGGGGCTGTGCATGCTCAGGTGTAGGCACTCCAGGCTGTAAGCACATGTTCTGTCCACACCCCCTGCCAACAGCCACCTCCTGGTCACTCCTGGGGCTTAAGGGTGCCCAAACGGGTGGCTCAGACGACCCTCAGGAGAATGCACCCAGGACGCAGGCTGAGGTCATTGAACAGGGAACTCCAGGGCCCCAGATGCCAGATCATGGTCAAGGGGCCCATGGCTCCAGCTGGAAATGTCTCCCTGGTCCAGGAGTGCTGCTCTCGAAAGCACAGGGCTCAAGTCTGTGGGCCGAGGGCCCCCGGGTGCTGCAGCAGCTGGGGTGGTCAGAGCTGGACATGGGGTCTCCCTCCCTCCTTGAGCTTGCTCTTGACCGTCACCTGCAGCCACGTACCCCCGCCCCAGTCAGATCCCCCACGCCCCAGTCAAATGCCAACCCTGGGGAGCTTCCCACTTCAATGAGTCAGCTCCCTTTACCCTGTCCCCACTGCCCCCCACCCTTATCCCCCTTATCCGGCTGCTCCACGCCCTGCCTGCTCCCTGGGCTCCTAGCCCCAACTATCTGCCTACCCCCCCACCCCGCTCTGCCACCCTAACCTCCTATCTGCCCTCCTCAGGTCAGCCAGTCAGATCTTTCTAAAATGCAAAAATGCAGGCTTTGAGTTTCCTTCCCTGTCTAACCAGCGCTGGTTCCCGGGCTGTCTACATATCATTCTCCAGGCTCTGGATGTCCCTCCTCTCTTCCCTTCTCTCCTTGGGTTCTGAGCTCTAGCCATTTGGGCCTTCTCTCCAATTCAGTTTTGTGTCATTTCTGCCTCATGGTCTTCATGCGTACTACCCCCTCTACCTGGAACCATGTTTTCTGCTCTTTGTCCCTGGCTCCCCAGACCAGCAGAAACCACATGGTGATGAGCACATGGAGTTGTCAGTTTCCAGTGTGTTTCCTACCTGGCCTGTAGGCAACAGGAGGGCAGGTTGGGTCAGTGCTGTTCGCTGCTCCATCTTCAGTGTCTGGCACAGAGCAGATGTCACTGAAGTTTCATGAGTCACATGCACCTGCACTGGGCTTGAAATCAAGAGACCATGGCAGCTAATGTCTATTGTATGCTCACTGTGTCCCGGGCTCTGCTTTTAAGCATATCATATGTATTAGTTCACTTATTTCTCACAACAGACTTAGAAATAGGAATGATTACTATCTCCACTCTACAGAATGAGGACACTAAGGCACAGAGAAGTTCAGAGACTTAGACTCACAGCTGCCCAGTGACAGACCCCGATTTGAACCCAGGCCATGGAGTTCCAATGCTGAACCACGTCTTCCCGTCTAGCCCCAGCTGGGCCAAGGCCTTGCTGTGGGTCCCTGGACACCAGTGTCTCCACTTCTCTGAGCTGCAGCTTTTCTTTTCTTTTTTCTTTTTTTTTTTAGACAGAGTTTCACTCTTTTTGCCCAGGCTGGAGTGCAATGGCGTGATCTTGGCTCACTGCAACCTTTGCCTCCTGGGTTCAAGTAATTCTCCTGCCTCAGCCTCCTGAGTAGCTGGGATTACAGGCATGTGCCACCACACCTGGCTAATTTTGTATTTTTTAGTAGAGACGGGGTTTCTCCATGTTGGCCAGGCTGGTCTCGAACTCCCGACCTCAGGTGATCCGCCTGCCTTGGCCTCCCAAAGTGCTGGGATTACAGGCGTGAGCCACTGTGTCTGGCTCTGAGCTGCAGCTTTTCTGTGTGTGCAGTGGGGGGTTGGCCACAGTGGTGATCCCTGAGGTCCCTTCCAGCTCTGACAGCCTGGCAGCTCCTCTGATGATCCATCCTTCAGGGAGCCAAGGACTCCCTGTAGAGGTCCTGCAGGGATGCCCAAGAGTTGGGTGGCTGGGAAATAGCTTGCCATGATTTAGGCTGCAGACCTGAGTACCTGGCCAGGGACCCAGTTGTCCCCAGCAGTCTTGTCATCGTGACCCGCCTTCTTCTCGTAGGAACCCAGGCCGGGCTAGGTAAATGAACTGAGCTAAACTGCCAGGTGCTGGGGTTCAGGCAGAGACTGGAAGCTAGAAGTTGAGGAGGCCGAGTACTGCAGTTGGGTTGGGGGACAGTACTTGGGGCAGGGTTGAGCTTGGGTCCCCACACCAAGAGCTTCACAGTCATCTCACGGACCCTTCAGCGACAGTCCTGAGGGCTGTCCATTTTTTAGAAGAGGACATGACAGGGAGGCATGGGGGGACAGTGACCTGGCCAAGGTCACACAGCAAGGAGTCTAGATTTGGCTCTTAACCACTCTGCCCCCAGCCTTGGGCAAAGGTGTTCAGTGTAGATGGGAGAGTAAACAGAGAAGTTCTAGAAGGGGTCAGGCGCAGTGGCTCACACCTGTAATCCCAGCACTGTGGGAGGCCGAGGCGGGTGGATCACCTGAGGTCGGGAGTTCGACACCAGCCTGGCCAACATGGTGAAACCCCGTCTCTACTAAAAATACAAAAATTAGCCAGGCGTGGTGGTGTGTGCCTGTAATCCCAGCTACTCGGGAGACTGAGGCAGGAGAATTACTTGAACCCAGGAGGTGGAGGTTGCCGTGAGCCGAGGTCGTGCCACTGCGCTCCAGCCTGGGCTATAGAACAAGACTCCGTCTTGGGGAAAAAAAAAAAAAAAAGTTCTGGAAGAAACTCTGAGACATGCATATGGCTTCCATGTGTTTATACCCATGAGCATGGGTACTCCCTTGCTCCCCATCCCAGCACCTCTCCTTGCCCACCTCTGTTTCACTGCCTTTGTTTATTCGCCTGTGGTCACTGTGGACTCTGCTAGACCCTAAGCCTGTGAGGGCAGTGGCTGTCTTCCTGTTCCCTGCACACCAGCACGTGACTCAAGCACAGGCAGGAGGAAGGCGGATGGAAACACAGGCACAGCCCGTGGCTGTTCCACCGTGTCCAGTCCCTTCCCTACTCGGGCCTCTGTTTCTCATCTCTGCATATGTGGTAAAGTGCCTCATCTTTAGTGTGGGCTCAGGTGAGCCGCTGGGTTCCTGCTGGGCCATGGGAAGGGTTCCAACACCCAAAGGGCAGGGAGGATGAGGGCAGGCGGCTCAGCTGCCCTCCCTCCATCCCAGGGCCTGCCACCTCCCCTCTGTCTTCTCCTGATTCTGGTCACCCACCAGGAGGGGCTCAATGTCCTGCTCAGCAAGTTCCCTTAACAGGCTGGGCAGCCAGGGGGGGGTGCTCTGCTGGACTGGAGGAGCCGATGTGAGCCCAGGCCACCCATGGAGGCTCCCCCTGAAGAGACGGAGCAGACAACCCAGCCACTTGTCAGGAACCCGGACCAAATACCCCACCCCCAAGGCTCGGCACTAAGTGTCCCAGGGGCCTGATTTGCAGGAAGGGCAGCAGGATGCTCACTTGGGGGCGGAACACTCACCTGAGGGAGGAACTGTACCTGCTCAGACTTGAATACCCCACCCCCAAGGCTCGGCACTAAGTGTCCCAGGGGCCTGATTTGCAGGAAGGGCAGCAGGATGCTCACTTGGGGGTGGAACACTCACCTGAGGGAGGAACTGTACCTGCTCAGACTTGGGTTACCCACAAACTCAGCCCAGCAGGAGTCTGCTGGCCGCGCTAACAATGTCCACTGTGACACTGCTGAGATTCTGCAAGGTGCTTTCAGTGTTAGCCCATTTTACAGAGAAGAAAGTTGAGGCTCCAGACAGACATGAGCTTAAGCCTCTGGCCCAGTTCAAGTTACCAACCATTCCAGAGGCCAGGGCCTGGGGCTGGGTATGTGGCACCCTAAAGCCCAGGTGAGGGTGACCTGAGGGTGGAAGTCTGGGCCTGGAGAGGCAATAGAGGGAGTGAGGATGGCTCCTGCCAGAAACAGGGGAGGGGTGTTTGAGACCTTGAAGGAGGTGGGACTGTGACAGTGGTGACCCTGGGAGGGGTCCGGGTCCAAGCAATAACTGGGAGAGACTTGGTGCAGGGCCCTGAGCTGAAAGGGAGGAAAATGGAGATGGATTGGTCCCTGCCCTCAATGGGGGGTAAATGCCAAGGCTGGGGGCAGGAGCCCAGAGGAGGGCACCAGGCCAGCCCAGACATGAGCTCTGTGGTGTGCGTGTGTTTACTGTGTGGCCAGAGGACGTGAGGAGTGTGTCGAATGGTCTGTGTGATGTTGTGGTGGGGGGATAAGTGTATCAGCATATGGAGTGTGAGTGTGTGTCTGTGCGTGCATGCATGCACGCTAGAGCATGCACTTTTGTGCCTGTGATCTGTGTCATGCAGTGTGTCCGTGCCTGTGTGGGATGTGGTCCCTGTGATGTGGAGAGTGTATGCTGGTGTGTGTGTGTGTTGTGGGGTGGTGCTAACTGGGACACTCTCCAGGGGAAGAGCCTAGCTCGGATGGAGGTGGAGGAGTTAACCAGGAAAACGGGAGAGGAACGAGCACGTGCAAAGGCCTGGAGGCATGAAGAGGGAGCCTGCAGCACTGGAGGACTTGAAAGTGGTCCAGTGAGGCTGGGGACAGGGAGCGAGAGGCAGGGCCTGGGAGGGATAGGGCAGGCCTTCCTCCACCAGTTTGAGTTCCATTAGCTTGAGGGTGTGTACAGCCAAGAGGGATGGAGGGGCTGAGAGGAGGCCAAGCCACCACTGACCAGGTGGAGGGGTGGGGGGTGAGCCTGGACCGGGCAGGTGCTGGGTGGAGGTGGGGGAGTGAGAGCCAGAGCTTTCAACCAAGCCTCTGGGAGGCTGCAGGGCCTGGGATCCCAGACCCGAGCCTGATCCCTGCTCAGCTCAAGAGCTGTTGCCGGAAGGTTCTTAGTTTCCCCTCAGTAAACTGGGGCTCAGGAGATTTCTGGAGCACTTGCTCTGTATAACTGGGCAAGGGCTGGGCAGGCATTTCCAGCATGAACACGTCTTCCCAGGCCCACTGGCTGGAGGGCACCGAGGGGTGAGGGTGACCTGAGGGTGAAGTCTGGGCCTGGAGAGGCCATAGAGGGAGTGAGGACAGCTCCTGCCAGAAACAGGGGAGGGGTGTTTGAAACCTTGAAAGGTGGGACCGTGACGGTGGTGACCGTGGAAGGGGTCCGGGTTCGGGTCCCACGGGGGGTCAGAGGAAAGGAGCTGGAAGCAGGAGCCAGAATTTGAACCCAGGTGGTCTGACTCCAAGAGGGCCCTCTCACCTGACTTCAACAGTGACCTTAGTGGCTTCAACAGTGACCCCAGTAGTGACAATAGTGACTCACCTGCCCCATGGGCTTGAAACTGCGATGGTTGTGCTCTCCTTTGACCCTGTATCCTGGGGGACTCCACACGGTCATTATATTGTTACTGCGCCTTTTTAGAGATGAGAAAACTGTGGCCAGAAGCAGAGTGGCCTGACCAGGGCTCCAGCCCCCCAGTCCTGCCACAGATGATGTGGGGCGGTTTTCTCAGCACAGGCTGGAAAGCTTTCTTAGGTAACACGTGGAAGGCAGCGTGTGACCCGGCAGAAAGGAACTGTAATTCCGGGTGGCTGTACGACCTTGGACAGTCCTTTTCCCATCTCTGGGCCTCGATTTACCCAACTGTACAATTCGCCCCGTGAGTCTAGGAAGATTCGCTGAGCGTCTGCCAACTGGCAGATGAGGAAACCGAAGTTCAGAGAGTTGAAAGCACAGAGTTGCCTCAGGTCAGGCGGCCGGCACAAGGTGGCGCCGGCTTCGAAGCCGGATTCCGAGGGCGAGCCCTGCCCTCGGCCCCCAGCGGTGTTGTCCTGCCCCCAGGGGGCAGCGGCGCGGGGCCGTTCCAGGCCCTGCCAGCCTGACGTCAGGCCCGGCCGGCGGGGCCTCGCTCTGCACAAACAGACGCCGCAGGCCAGCGTCGGGGCCGGGGGCGGCGATGACTCAGGGCCCCGAGACGGGCCGGGAAGCGGAAAGTTGTGTGCAGATGACATCAGCCGGCCGCGAGGGCGGGAGGGGGCCGGCTCCGGGAAACGGCGGCCTGGCGGGCGGCCCGGCCAGGGATAGGGCGCGGAGGGGCGGCCGCGGGGCGGGGGCGGGAACACCGGGACGGGGCGCTCGGAACCACGAAAAATGTCCCCCCTCCCGCCCGCCCCGGACCCAGGCCCCGGAGCCCGGCCCCGCTTTTCGCCGGCGAGGAGCCGGCTCCACCCGCCTGCAAAGACGCCGCGCTCCCCCGCGCTCCGGAGGCAGCCGCATCCATCCTGCTGCGTGCCTGCATTTTAATTACCGCCGCATTAATATTCATGAGCCAGGACTCGAGGGGGACCGCGGGCTGTCATTTCCCTCGCCCGCCCTCCCCCCACCGCACCCCTCTTCCTGGGCTGAGTCTTGGGCTTTTTTCTTCCCGTTCCCAACCCCGCTCGCACCAACCGTTGGTGCTCAGCAGATTTCGGGGAGCGGGGTGGTGTGTGAGCATGAGTGTGAGCGAGTGTGAGTGGGGAGGGCGCAGGGTGGGGGCCGAGTGTGAGTCTGTGCCTACGTCTGTGTGCCTGTGCCTACGTGCCTATGCGTGCCTGTGTGACTGTCGGCAGTCCCAGGGCCGTGTGTGCACGTCTCTGATGTGTCTGTGGGGCTTGGAGAGGGGCCAAAGCCTGTCCAAGTTAGCAGGGCCTGACTGTACAAATGGGGAAACTAAGGCCTGGAGAGAGGCTGGGCCTTGTCCAAAGCCACCCCATAGGTCAGCAGCACAGGGGAGCGGGAGACCAGGGTCCTGCGTTTGGCAGGCTCTGCTCCCGGCTCTCCCGTGCTGTTGTTTGTAACAATGGCAGACAGGATGTGCTGAGCGGGCACCTCTTATGTGTCCTTCCCAGCAAACCTGTGCAGCACGTGGTCCTATCCGTGCCCCGTGCAGATGGGGAAACTGAGGCAACTGGTCCAGCCAATGAGGGGTGAACTGGAGCCCAGAAGTGTCTGAATCCTAAGTCCCTGGGTTTAACAGCCCCACTGTGGTGCCTCCAGGGGAATTGTGGAGTGTCCTCACTGGGGTGATCTGGGGGTACCTGGAAGCTCCTGGGTGCCCGGGCATCAGCGGGGATGTTTCCCCAGAACAGCCCACCTTCTGTTTCCCTCCCAAGTGAGTCATCGGATAGGGCTGCCTTCTTGTGGCTTTCCCAGTCCCCCTCTGTCCCCTCCCCATCCCTGAAGCCTCCCAGGGGCCACCGTGCACACCACACCTTGCTCCCTGGGCCTGAGGTCAGGCAATCATTCATTCATTCATCCAACAAATCCTTCAGTGCCACTCACTGTGCTAGGCACTGGGGATTCTCTGCTTCCCACTCTGGTCATCTCTACCTGGCCTAGGCGCCTCCAGGCCCACAAGGGGGCTGTTCACCTCTGTGTGTGAATGCTCACTAGGGGTGGGGGACTAGGGGCACCTGTGCACAAAAGACAGCTCTCACCCAGCCTTGCCGCAGAGGTCTGGGGTGCCCACATTCGGTGGCCAGAAAGGGGCTGCGATCATCTTAGGGTTGACGGGGCGGTGGCCACACTAGGCAGCCTGAATCTTTGCTTCTCTCTCCTGCAACTTGTCCTCCTCTGGCCGCCAATCTAAATAACCCCAGAGGCTGGTCAGCCTGCCTTGCCCTGGGTTGAGCCAAGGCCATCCTCCCTCTCACGTCCAGCCGAGAATAGGCGGACTGTTCCCTCGTCTCTGCCCACACAGGGCTGGGCTGGAAGTCGTGTCCCAGCCATGTCCCCTGAGCCTTTTCTCCCCTCCCTTTGGGAGCTCCACAGGAACACAGAGAAGAGGACAGGGGTGCAGCCAGAGGACTTGGGAGAGGAAGCAATAATTTATTTACCTTCACCGGTTAAATAGGAGTTTGCCTAGGAGAGGCGGCCCAAGGACGGGGGACTAGCTCAGAGGCGCGCCCACCTGCAGCCCCCATTCTATAACAGGAACCAGAGCAGGCCAAAGGCAAGAGACCTGGGGAGACTGGGAGGACGGATTTTCTCCTAAAGGGCCTGAGGCAGTACAGCCTAGTGGTCCGGTCCGCACCCCTGGGTGGGTCCATCCTGGGTGAGAATCCCCCTCCCTCCTCACTGTGAGGGCCTCTATTTCCTGATCTGCAAAACTGGGAAAATAACTTTTTTTTTTTTCAGGTTTATATTCAGATCAAGAGACACTGCCCATACAGCACCTAGCACGGTGGCTGGGGCTCTTTCATAGGGTGATCTGTCCTCAAGGACATAGGGAGGCCTCTGGAATCACTGTCCCCATTTGGCCCAGAATGGGATTTAAGGATCAGTCTGTGTCCCACAGTCTAACCCATGGGGAGGAGTTTGGTAGGGACAGACTGCTGGGAGGAGGGGGAACAGCCTGAAACTGTCATGGGTCAGGCAAGGCTCAGGCTCTAGGTAAGAGAGGGATCTCAGAGGCCCCACGGCCCTGCCTGCTGGGCTCCGTGTAGACCTGCCAGATGGCCCATCACCCAAACAGCCAGAGCCGCAGTGAGAGGGGCAGCCTGGCCCGCCAGCTCCTGGCTCCCTTCTGCTGCCTGTGTCTCTTTGCCTCCTGGCTCCCCTCTGTCTTTTGAAAATGTCCTCCCTTCTTTTGTTAGAATAGTCATACCTGTACATGGCAAACACACACACACACACACACACACACACAAACACGAAACCTTTTTTTTTTTTTAAAAGGAAGCACTGTAAAAGTTCATGCAATACATCCTGACGCTGTCATTCCAGGTTTCGTGTACATTTCCAGGATATTTTTCTGCCTACAGAGCTGTCTTTGTAAAACTTCCATAGGATGACATCCACCTCTGCTCAAAGGCCTTCAATGGCTCCCCGTTTTCATAAAGCAAGGTAGCTTCCTCCAGACTTCGCAGCCTGGCCCAGGTTTGGCAACACCATTCTCCTTCCTCTCCCCATTACCCTCCCTGACGCTGGGCTGCGGGGCCTTCCTCAGAGCGTGGCCTCCTCTCCTGCCACCATGCCTTTGGCTTTGCTGTGCAGACCTCTGGGAATGGCCCGGTGCCTTCCACTGAGATTTCTCAAGACCAGCCTTTGCTGTCCCCCAGCCTCCGTGCCTCCTCCCCCAGATCTCTCCCCTCCCCATTCCTTAACACCAAAACCCACCTCTCTCTCTTCCGGTGCCCTCAGGACTGATGGGCGTCTCTAGGGTGCTGCTTTTCACATCTAACTCTCAGGAGCGCCTCATCCAATCTTGTGTCCCCACTCAGCTATGAGCATCTCAAAGGCTGGGGTCCTGGCATCTTTATTTTTGTTGCCACCTAACTTGATGCCCTGCACATAGTAGGCACTTTAAAATGTTATATTTAAAAAAATTAAAGTTGCCCTTCCTTCCCTCCTTCCTTCTTTCATTTTTTTTTTTTCAGAGTCTTATTCTGTTGCCCAGGCTGTATGGAGTGCAGGGGCGCAATCATGGTTCACTGCAGCCTTGACCACCCTAGACTCAGGTGATCCTCCCACCTCAGCCTCCTGAGTAGCTGGGACTACACGTGCGCTCCACCAGGCCTGGTGGAGCATTTTCATATTTTTGTAGAGATGAGGTTTCGCCACGTTGTCCAGGCTGATCTCAAACTCCTGGGCTCAAGTAAGCCTCCAGCCTCAGCCTACCAAAGTGCTGGGATTACAGGCATGAGCCACTACACCCTGCCTACTTTTCTTTAGAGATTCAGACTCTAAGCCAGCAAATGAGGGTTGAATCGTGACTCTATCATTTCCTAGCTGTGTGTCCTTGAGAAAGTGAATCAACCTCTCTGAGCCTCAGTTACCTCATCTGGAAAAGAAAGTTAATAATAAAATCTCCCTTCGTGAGTAACAGTGGTAACGGTGCATGTAAAACATCTAGCACTAGCCCGGGGCAGAGAGTAGCCAGCAAGCTCTGATGTTACTCAGTTTTGTCTTACTCAGTCTCATTCAGACTTGTCCAAAGTCACCTGTCCAGTTTGGGGCAATGCTGGGACGCTCCCACTGTCTCTTCCCCCTTCAATGCTACTTCCCTGTAGCAGGAGAGGGTTCCAGGCCATTGTCTCTGTTTTGCAGAGAAGGAGAACCAGGTTCAGAGAGGTTGAGTTGCTCACCTAGGGTCACACGGCCCTGAGAACAAAGCAAGGGTCTGTTTGTTTGCTAAGTTCCCTGTGAGTTCTTCAGGTTGCTCAGGATAGGGAAAACCTCAGTGAGACCCACCATCCTTGCGGAGGGGCTCGTATTCCTGTGGCCAAGAACTGGCAAGGTGGGTTCCTCAGGGGCCAGGGAGTCGCCACAAGTGCTCTAAGTGGGACATCACTAAGACAAACAGCATTTCCTGGGTGCTTTCCCCAGGCAGGGAGCTGTGTTAAGTGTTCATGGGCATAGCTTCCTTCCATCCTCACAGCAACCCTGCTATCTTGCATTCCAAGGGTGGGTGCTCACTGAGATCCCGGGTAGGGGCTAAAGGAGGCGTGGCGCCAGCACCTGAACCCTGATCTCGCTCCTACCCTGAGCCTCTGTGGACCACCGAGGACAATGGGCTTTAGCCTGTGCTGTATCAGCGCTGGGACTCAGCAGGAGACCAGGCTCCACCCCCAACGCCCCCAACCCAAGTTGGGGGTGCTGCTTGGGTCTCATAGAACATCTGGGGGTGCCCCCCCCCGGCCCTGGCCCCACAGAGCCGACCCAGCTGCGTCTCTGAGCCGCACCCAAAATCTTCCCAGCTTTGCCAGGGAGACTGGAAATTTCTGCTCAGCAGCTTCGTCTGGGATGATTTCGACACTTGGCTCTGTGGGGTCGAGAGGAGGAGCCAGGCCACTCAGCCGCTCAACATTCTGGAACTTCCCTTGGGTCACCGGGAGGGGGGGTTTGCTAGGCCTAGGTGAGCCCCTCCGAAATGATAAAATCAAACAACAGTGAAGAAGTACCGAGCGCTTACCATGTGCTGGGCCCTGTGCCAAGTCAGGACTTGCTGGGCCTCACGGAACCTTCCGGCGCCCGGGCAAGGCCAGCACTGTTACTAACCGTCTCGCGGACTGCTCCTGACTGGGGTCTCTGTTAGCATCCAGGAGTCTCCTCCTC